ACCGGCAATATGTGACGAAGCCTACAGATCAGCCTTGGTTTGGCTTTCCTTGTAGAGAGGCTGCTACTGCTAAGTACAAAGCATGGCGAAGGTATAAGAGACATCCTACCACCTATATCAGGAACTTGCACAGGCAAGCCTGTAGGCATATGGGCGACATTCAAAAGTGGGTCATTGCTAAATGGGAGGTGGACACTAAAAGAAAGCTAGCATCAGGTAGGGTAGGCTCCAAAACCTGGTGGTCCCTCCTCAAGGACAGACAAGGTTATCTGCCTGATGAACTCATTCCACCTCTAAATCGACAGGATGGGACCGCCTCTACTAGTAGTCAAGAGAAGGCGGACCTCTTTGCTGAACACTTTGCTACCAAAATGCAAGTTCCTGTTCCAGCAAGGGACCCTCCTTGGCTAGCTGCAAGAACTGTGTCAAAACTGTCAGTGGTGACAATAAGGCAGGAGGAGGTGCATTTCCTTCTTAAATCGCTTGACCAAGAAAAGGCTGTGAGCCCAGACAAGTTGAGCCCAAGATTGCTGAGAAGATGTGCTGACCAGCTAGCAGCACCTCTAACTCGCATCTTTCAGCACTGCCTAGTACAGTGTAAATGACCCTCTCTATGGAAAGAGGTAAATGCAGTCCCTGTTCACAAAAAGAAGAGCAGAGCAGAAATCAGCAACTACAGACCAGTGTCACTCCTGTCAATCACTGGTAAGATCCTTGAGACAATAATCTCAAGACAAATGACAGAGTTTTTTGACTACCACTCACTACTTTGTGATCGTCAATATGGCTTCAGGAAAGGTTACTCTGCTGCTGATCTGTTGTTAAACTTCTCCACTAAGTGGCACCAGTCACTGAATGAATCCAAAGTCAGCTGTGTGGTAGCACTGGACATTGCTGGCACTTTTGACCGGGTGTGGCACCAGGGCCTCCTAGCAAAACTTCAAGCACTGGGAATTGCAGGCTCTACGCTATGTCTCCTCAGTGATTACCTTCATGGTAGATCTCTACATGTAGTTCTCAATGGAACAGAATCAGCAAGACATCCTATTGGGGCAAGTGTTCCACAAGGAAGCGTGCTGGGACTATTGTTATGGAATGTCTACTTCAACGACCTTCTTCAACTCATCCCAGAATCACATGCATATGCAGACGACTGTACACTGACATTCACTTATCCAAGAGAAGAAATGCCAGCTGCTCTAAGCTACATCAATCACCAGCTAAGAGCTACATCAGCTTGGGGAAATAGATGGCAAGTAACATTTGCACCTGAGAAAACGCAAATGATGATGGTTTCTAGGCACCATGATGGTAATGCTGGTGCAGTAGTAAGGATGAATGGGAGGGTGTTGGCACCTGGAGAAGAAGTTGATATCCTTGGGGTGAAATTTGACTCCAAACTATCCATGAAGAACCATGTTGTAAATCTTGCAAACAAGGCAGCCAGGAAGCTTACAGCACTTTGCAGAATCTCGCATCTGCTTGACAGTAGGGGTTGCAAGATTCTGTATGAGGCACAAGTACGCTCACACCTTGAGTATGCTCCACTTTTTTGGTTTGCCTGCCCCCCCTCATCTGCGACTGCTTGACAGAGTAGAGAACAGAGCAAGACGTCTCATCTCTCGCCTGGACCAATCCTGGATAGATCTGTCATTTCAGCAGAGCCTTCAACACTGGAGGGATGTGGGTGGCCTTACTGTTATGTACAAGGCCAATATTGTCAAAGTACCACACTTGGATCCACTTCGAGGACAGTGTGAAACAAGCTTTCATGCCACAAGATGGGCAGAAAGCAGCAACTTCACTCTGGCTGTACCTTTCTCCAGAACATCACTCCATCTGAGATCATGTATACCCAGGATGACTCGAGTATGGAACACATTCGTACAGCATAATGATGTCAACGAGATAAAGTCAGTTGATCAAATGAAAATGCTGGCCCACAGATGGCTCCAACTTCATCCTGTTCCCTACTTGTATGTCTAATAACAATAAAAATGCTTTCAAATGAGCTGATGTAGGTAACAGCTCTTAGCTTCCCAATAAAGTTAGGAATCCTTAACCTGTAAATAGTTTGTCAATAAAGCTAGGGATCCTTAACCTTGTCAAACCCTGTGTAAAAAAAAAAAAAAAAAAAAAGAGAGAGAGAGAGAGAGAGAGAGAGAGAGAGAGAGAGAGAGAGAGAGAGAGAGAGAGAGGAGAGAGTGTGGTGTGTGTGTGTGTGTGTGTGTGTGTGTGTGTGTGTGTGTGTGTGTGTGTGTGTGTGTGTGTGTGTGTGTGTGAGTGTTTTGTCAACAAATTTTGCTGAGAATTACAAGTTTTGGAGTAAGACTAATAGCTGAGAAAGCCTGGGGAATGAATGAATTTAACAGTTAAAACAAGAGTGGCATTATTAAATGGGGAGCTGGAGGTATTGAGAAGATGGAAGGAATATTCTGATGAGCTGTTAAACATTGATGAAGAGAGGGAAGTAGCAATTTCGTGCAATGGCAAGGGAGATACTGACAGGATCAACACAGGAATGTTAAAAGCAAGTGGGGGGTATAGTTTGGAGTAGTTGGTGCATTTGTTCAATAAATGTCTTTGAAAGGAAGAAGTACCTAGAGATTGGCATGTGTGAGTAAGTTAGATATGAGTAAACAGAGACAAGTGGTTTTTATGATATGACATGATATTGGAGTGTTAGCAAGGTAACTTTTATGAAGGGATTCAGAAAAAACCAGTTAGCTGGACTTGAATCCTGGAGGTGGGAAGTAGATTGCCTGCACTTTGAAGGAGTGGTGGGAATATTGCAGTTTGTAGGGGTATCTGAGCTGTAATGTTGTCGTGCCTCTGGCAAAACAGTGATGGAGTGAGTGATGGTGAAAGTGTTTCTTCTTTTCCAGGTCATCCTACCTCAACAAGAGATGGCGGGTGTGTCCAAAAAAAAAAAAAATATTTTTGACTTCTTGTGAAGTAACTGTAAACAAAGAGTTCTTGCTCATATGTATTGCATTGTCAACTGGCAACAGGCTGGCACAATGCTTCTTGACTAGGTTCAAAAACTCGGTAATCACATCCATGATAAAGTTTTTTCCCATGGTTTGACTGCACTAATTTGTTCCCAGTGTTGGGGCCCATCTGTATGGCTTTTATCCTGAAAGTGGCAGTCTATGGATTTCAAAGCAAATAACATGCAAGCAACAAGTGATTTCCCATAGCCATGCCAATTTTTCTATGTATAGCTTTTCAATGAACACTAATTATAAGTCTATACAGTATATTATATAATCAATTAATTCAATTGTCAAAGTGCCATCTAAAGGAATGTCATATTTTGAGAGTTCTTCAGCCAGGAAGCCCAAGAGATTATTCACAGCCAATTTAGTAAACAAGGCATTAACTTCAAAACTGGCAAATTTAAAAATTGTTATTCATGTTAAAGTCTCAGTTTTTCTACAAAATGCACATTGTTTTAAATATGGGAATAAGATAATGTGATGCATGTGTTGGACTGTGTGTGTGGTTAGCACTAAAAGCCAAGTTGATCAAGTGATCAAGAGTGGAGGAAAATGGTAATGGTAGTGAACAAGGAAATATCTATTGAGATTCACTGAAACCAATTAATCAAAATTATTTTTTTGTTGTGGAAAGTGCAGCACCTGTGCTTTGAAAGTCAGAGATAATGAAATTTAGCAGTCATCACTGTGTTAACACAGGAAAGAGTAATAGTGGATGTTTTATTTTATTTTATTTGACCCATTCTACCTTGGTGGGAAACAGACAGGTGATGGTGAGATGAAGGAAACAGGCTCAACATTTATATAACAGAGGAAAATCCTTTAATAATAAGAAGAATAATATGATTGTAACATCATTACCCTTCTAGAAAGACAGTGATCGAATGAATGAAGGTGAGTGTCTGTTTCTTATGTCACACTTCTTTGGAGGGAGATGGCCACTGAGTTAAAAAAATAATAATAATAATAATGAAATTACAATAAAGGCAAGTCTGTAATCTTTATCTGCTACCTTCTTGTGGTGCCACCATAAGGAGAACCAGACCCTTTGCTTCTTCCCATTCTCTTAATGTCTCTGAAGTTTGTGAGTGTGGTAGAAAGAGTGTGGTAGCATGTACTAAACTGCACAAAGATAAACCAGTGGCATTGCTAGAGTTGGTGTCACCCGGGGTGGAATCTTTGGTGTCACCCGGAGCGGCATCTTTGGTGTCACCCCCATGAAATCCAAGGGCAGGGGGATGGGGGGAGTAAACTCCAGTTACATCACTACTACATGACCAATGACTAATGCTTAGCAAGGAGAACGTTCAAGGGCCATAAACCAAACAGGAGAATACTTCTCAACTTTATTAAAGATAAAATAAATAATCATAGTAATATTGAGGAAACAAACTCAAATACCACTTTGAGTACAGACAACAGATCCTACATTTATTCATCTTCAACAATGCAAAAAAAAAAAAAAACTTGAAAAATAAAGAAAAACATTGCAATATCAGTGAAACACTAGTTCCGATTTGACCTCGAGTACAGGTAACATCTCAGTGAATCTGATCTTACATTTCCTTCCCTTCAATCCTGTAAAATCATGTATCACATCATCAAAATCAATGATTTTCCCAATACAGGCCTATTTGTACTCTGTAATCATATAATAGGCTATATAGAAACGAAGGATTCTTCTCTTATGTTGCTGCAGCACTGTTTTGTGCATTAGTGTCACCTTCTTTAGAGGCTCTATGGTGTCACCCCTTAAATAGTGTCACCTGGGGTGGGCCCCCCATTACGACGCCACTGAGATAAACCCATAGATATGGAAAGAATGTTGTGTAAAGATGATATGAACAACTTAAAATCTTCTCTCACATACCTTTTGGTTAGGCTGTACACCAAACACAAATTTTTAGTAAAATTTTACAAATATCAATACAGTAACAGTAATGCTTTATTATAAAGGGTGAATTATATAACTGAGAAGAAAAATTTGATTCTTCTTCTTACCTTCTTCTTCCTTTTCAGCTTTAATCTTGACTCTACGTGAATTTGCAACACTCCAGGTGCCGGAGCGAGGCCTGACACCTGAGGTGGACTGAGAAAAGGTGTCATCTCTCTCAGTGGTGGCAGAGCTCAGGGTGCGGGACACTATAACATCTTGAGAGGATTCTACAGATACATCTCCTGCTTGCTGGCTTTTGCTGCAAGTTCCAACTGTTGATATGTCCTGTTGAAAAAGGGTACTGATCAATATCATAATGCAATCATGAAGATAAATGACACTAATTCATTTATAAAAATGCTTAGCTTACAATATGAAATACAGAAATTTTTGCACAGAAATATAATTTCATGGCACCTCAATTTGGATGCAACAAGAGTTAAAATGTTTCTCACTCAGGCAGGAATTTCCTATTCAACATCAAAGTGGTTGAAGGAATTATTTTTATAACAACCAGCAAAACAAGGTTGTCAGAATATTAAAGTAACATTTGCATAAATATTCTATTATCCTTATAACTGGCATCTGGTTTTACTCTGCCCCCCCCCCCCAAATGTCACACAGATACTTATTTTATGAATTATCCCATAAAATAAAGAAATATTTACAGTACAGTGGAACCTCAGTTTTCGTTTGCCCTCGTTCTCATCAAATTCAGTTTTTGACGACTTTTTTCATCAAAATTTTGTCCCAGTTTTTGTTGAGTTGACGGCGGTCCGCCATACTGAACGTGTCCACCCACACAAAGCATCCCACACGTTCTGAGTCAGTCTGGCTTTGTTTCTCGTCGGTAGAGGGTGATAGTGATGGTGGTAGAGGGCAGTAGTGATGGCGGTAGAGGGCAGTAGTAATGGTGGTAGAGGGTAGTAGTGATGGTGGTAGTGATGGTGGCAGAGGGTAGATGTGATGGTGGTAGAAGGTGGTAGAGGGTGGTAGTGATTGTGGTAGAGGGTGGTAGTGATGGTGGTAGAGATAACCTCTCCTCCCTCTTCCCTCCTCGCCATCTTCCATGCGCCAACAAGAGTCTTCAATAAAGGTAAAAGTGATGTTAAATGTTCATTTATCCATTTCATTAGTCCTTTATATTTATTTCTCATTGTTTTCTGTATGTAAAACTATAGTTATTCTCTATAAAATGTATTTTTTGTTAATACTTTTGGGTGTCTGGAATGGATTAATTGGATTTACATTATTTCTTATGGGAAATATTGCTTCAGTTTTCATCGAATTTGGTTTTCATCAGACTTTCTGGAACGAATTAAAGACGAAAACTGAGGTTTCACTGTACATGTTATGTGTGTACACCGTCATCTGAGCTTCTAATTTCTTGACAGTTCATGTTCTCTTTCACCTCCATGGGAAAGCGAGTAAGAATTCTTCTTCCTTAAGCCACGTGTGTCATAAAAGGCGGCTAAAATGTCAGGAGCAAGAGACTGGTAACCCTCTTCTCCTGTATAAATTATTAAAAGGACAAAGGATAAAATTTTAAAGGTGGGTTATTTGAATGTGTGTGTGTGTGTAGCATGGATATGAAGAAAGAATTGACTGTGAATGTTATGAACAAAAAGAAGCTGGATGTCCTAGCTCTAAACAAAACAAAGCTAAAATAGGGAAGGAGAATTTCAGAGAGGTGTAAATGGGATTAGGTCATGTGTATCTGAGAGAATCAGAGAAAAGAGAGTAGCAGTAATATTAAATGGCAAACTATGGAAAAGAGGGAATATGTATATAAATTCAAGAATTGTTTATTAAAATAAGGGTGGAATGTGAGAAGTGAGAAACAGTAAGTGATTATGCACCTGGAGAAAAAAGGAGTGTAAGGAGAGAGAGAGATAGAGAAATATAGATAGATCTGGGGAAGTGTTCAGTGAGTTTCGAACCAAGTAAAACAATAAATTTGTGGGGACCTACATATGCTAATGGGAGAAACTGTTGTAGAGAGTGTAGTAGGTAAGTTTGGAGTGCCAAGGTTAAACGATAATGGGGGCCTTTAACTGAGCTGTGTGGAAAGAGGTATGGCAAATGAGGGTGGCAATGATTATTTGCATTAGCCAAAGAGGTATATAACACCTACATTTTTTTAGGATCGAGAAAGAGCCAGATGTTAATGTGGAGAAGATGCAAAGGGCAATGAGTAACATGAAAGGAAGTAAAGCAGGTGGGGATATAGTTTTGGAGTAGTTGGTGCATTTGTTAAGGTATGCCTGACTTGACTTAGCATAAGACCTGATTGATTGATTGAACATGTTGAAAAGGCTAAGATACTATATACACCATAGCAAAATATGCTCATCTTGCACAAAATAAAAAATGTAATTAGAGATTCAATTTCTTGTGTTATATGAAATACCATTTGCATTTTTACATATAAAACAGAGAGAGGAGCATCATTTGCAGTGGTGGCCACAATTCAGCTAATCCGCTAACCGCTAATTAGTGGAACTATATTTTTGTTTAGTGGATTAGCGTTCCCGTTAACTTCGGAAACCGTTAGCGGACCAATTAGCTTCCACTAAATAAAGTTTCGCTAACTTTGAGTCCGATAAAAAAAATTCATACATTGTTGGTAGTCGGAAAGCAATGCCTTTTCAACGGTGCACGTGTTTGTGCCTGTCTGTTGTGGGCGTTTCTCCAACAGTCAGTTAGGCACGCTATTGGCTGACTACATGTAAATGTGACTTGTCAATGCAGCAGCAGCAGCAGCAGCAGCAGCAGTATCTGAGTAGCATTGTTATAGTCTTACAGTGTCAGCGGTCACTGGGGTGCATTATCACTTATCGTTATGAACAGGGAAGACAATTCTATTCCGTTTGAGGATGTTGTTGAGGAGTCTGCAGCAGCTGTGACTAGAGCAGTATGACAACAGCCTGGTCAGCAAAGTGAGAAACACTATGGAGACCATCGTTCATTAAGTACAACACTGCCATCCCATCCAGTGCTGCAGTTGAGTGCCTATTCTCTATAGGCAAAGATATATTGAGGGCCAAGAGAGCCACCTTGTCAGATGGAAACTTTGAGAGGCTGATGCTCATGAAGGGCAACCAGCATCACATCAAAGCAATGGAGAAGGCCCAGCCAGAGTAGTAATCAGCCCAGCCGTCATCTTATCTTGGCATGATACCCATGCTATGCATTTTGTACAGTAAATAAAGTGTATGGTGGATTTAAACTTATGTTTGATTTCATTTGTTCATTTAACTATTAGTGTGCACCTGTATGGCTGTATCACTAGTGCAGCGATAAGTTGGCCTCAAGGTTTCAACTTTAAGCACGATTTTCAACTACAGTGGAACCTCGGCTTATGAATGCCCCACAATGCAAATTTTTCAGGATACGAACAGTCACTCGATCGATTTTTTTCTTCTGGATATGAACAAAATTTCAGGATGCAAACTACCCCCTCAAGGAAGGTTCCTTGGTAAGGGGCTCTTGATCAAGGGAACTGGATCTGTGCTCCACTTCCCTAAATTAACAATAATAATAATAATAAATAATAATAATAATAATAATAATAATAATAATAATAATAATAATAATAATAACAATAATAATAATTATTATTATTATTATTATTATTATTATTATTATTATAATAATACATAAGAAAGGAGGAACACTGCGGCAGGCCTGTTGGCCCATACTAGGCAGGTCCTTTACAATCCATCCCACTAACAAAATATTTGCCCAACCCAATTTTCAATGCTACCCAAGAAATAAGTTTTGATGATTCTATTTGCTCATCATGCAAGTCTCACTCAGATCCAACCCCTCTCACTCATGTATTTATCTCACCTAAATTTGAAACTACCCAATGTTTTAGCTTCAATAACCCTACTAGGCAGACTGTTCCACTCATCAACTATCCTATTTCCAAACCAATACTTAACTATATCCTTTCGAAATCTAAACTTATCTAATTTAAATCCTATTTATATCCCCTTTGTTAATACCCATCTTCCACTTATACACTTCGATCATGTCTCCCCTCATTCTTCGTCTTACAAATGAACGTAGTTTAAAAGCCTTCAATCGTTCTTCGTACGGAAGATTTCGAATGCTATGTATTAATTTGGTCATTCTACGCTGGAAGTCTTCTAGCGAATTTATATCCATTCTGTAATATGGAGACCAGAACTGAGCTGCATAATCTAGGCGAGACCTTACTAATGATGTATAAAGCTGTAAAATAACCGCTGGACTTCTGTTGCTTACACTTCTAGATATAAATCCCAGTAATCTGTTTGCTTTATGTATGTATGTTTAGGCACTGCTGTCTTGGTTTAAGGTTGCTGCTTACCATAACCCCCAAGCCCTTTTCACAATCTGTATGGCTAAATTCTATGTTATTTAACTGATAAGTACTAGGGTTATGGACACTCCCGAGCTTCAGAACCTTGGTGTAATATACCGACCTCCAGGCATGGATCATGATAGAGGGAAACTTTTTCGGGACGAAATTGTTAGGGCTTCTAGACACAATAACATAGTGATAGTAAGGGATTTTTAACTTTAGTCAAATTGACTGGACTTCTTTGACCGGTAATCTGGAGTCCAGTGACTTTATGGAAACAGTTCAGGACTGTTTTCTTAAGCAGTGTGTAACAGAACCTACCAGGGGTAATAATTTGCTCGACCTAGTCTTGTCCAATAAGGAAACACTCGTAAATAATCTGGAGATCACTGAAGAGCTTGGCGCAAGTGATCAAAAATCCATCACTTTTAGCATTAACTGGGAATACAAGAATAATGATAATACGGTAAAAATCTCTGATTTTCATTCTGCCAGTTACAATGGACTTAGGAAACACCTGTCTAATCTCGATTGGGATTATCTGGCAAATGATATTATTGACGATGATCATACTTATGATTACGAAGGGATCTGCATTTATGATTATTTTCTTAATAATGTACACCATGTTCAGAGTATATACGTAAGAACATAAGAATGGAGGAATACTGCAGAAGGCCTACTGGCCCATACAAGGCAGGTCCTTATCAAAACGACATTTACCCAAAGCTACCTAAGAATTAACTCCTGTACCCAATGACACCAATCAAACCCATCCCCTCCCACTCATATATTTGTCCAAACTCTTCTTAAAGCTACCCAAGGTCCTAGCCTCTATCACCCTACTGGGAAGATTGTTACACACATCCACAACTCTGTTAGAAAACTAGTGCTTACCTATGTCCTTTCTAAATCTAAATCTATCCAACTTAAA